CTTCCAAGTAGCCGGAATTACAGGCACGCGCTACCACGCCCGGCTGATTTTTTGATTTACTGTAGAGATGAGGTCTCGCTGCCCAGGCGGGTCTTGAACCCGCAGGCTCAGGCAATCCACTCACCTCAGCCTCCCAAAGGTGCGGGATTACAGGCTGAGCCAATGAACCCGGCTAAAAATTTTTTTTTAACAAAAGCAAATATACACTTATGGTATAAAATTCGGATTATAGAAAAAAAAGTATAAAAAAGAAAATGGAAATCACTCCAGAACCTTACCACATAGAGAGAATCTGTTCTAACAGTTTGCTTTTTGACAGCAAGAATGAAATTCATCTTAATTGTCTTAGTGTGGGTTCTCCTAGAAACAGAGATCTTGAGTTAAGGGTTTTAGTACAAGCTCCCAGGAAAAACCAGTAAGGGTGTGTGTGTGGGGGGATGGTAGTGGGGGGGTGGTGATGCCAGATGGAGACAGGGAAGAAACTGAGCAAAGGTACGATTTTATATGAAAGATCAGACGTACCCTGATCCCACTAGGGGTTCTGGAACATAATCATGCTCTAGAGGTTGCTCCTCCTTGAGGCAAAGAACATCTACAGCATTCAGTCATTGGCTTAGGGACTTGGGCATGGGGGACTGTAGAAACTGCATGCAACTTCTGACTGTCTGCATGGGCACAATGGTTCCAACGCCCCTGGGAAACCGTTTGGGGGTGACAGAAGTGAGCTGGTAGCAGCAAAACTGTCAGAAACTTGGGGGTGGCATGTAGAACTGTTGAAGGGAATTCCACAGTGTCAGCACCTCTTAATTATGGCGGGAAGCAGTGGCTTATTAATATTTATATTAATATTGAATGTTTATAGACTTAGAGGTATTAAGGGTAAGTAATTCAGCATTGTGTTTTTCTTCTCATGTAGCTGCTGATAGTAAGGTTACTAACTTCTATTGATTTGTAATAGTTGGTTTGGTTCCTTCTCATAGAAAGTAAGGTATGTCAGGTAGGAACACTGCCTTTTGAGGTTAGATGCTACCCAGCATGACCTGGATTGAGGAGTGAGAATGGAATGTAGCAGCCAAGGGGGATGGAGAGTGAGTAGCAGTATCTCAGATCTGAGGTCCAATTCTAAGGTAGTCAGGAGGAGAATACGAGACACCTTGAGAAAGACTGGGGATAAAGAGCAAAGGAGAAGCAAAGACAAAGAAGTTTAGCACTGGACTGTTCGGGTTGGAAATTCTGAGAGAATAGGAAGGTATGGTGCAAATAATTCACAAGATGACTAGTTGAAAATTTAAATTTGACCTTTAATGTTTTGTTTATGAATGTTAGGTTATTTAAGAATGAATGTGCCTGATGTAATGGGAGTTCTTACCAAACTAGGGAAGTGGAATGATAGTCTCCTGGCAATGGAAAACTCACTTCTCCAGCAAGCCCCTTGGTTATTCTTCTAGCTACATTGAGAACTACCTTTTGGTTTTAAATGACATTCCCCTTCTAAAGCTTGCTCTTTGGTTGACTTAAACATCGCCTCGAGAATGGGAGTGATGGAGTACTAAGTGTTTTAGCTAAAATAAAGGACTGTCCAACCTTTTTAAAAAATAGTAATTAACGGACTAATCTTTAAAGACAGCATTTAACTAAATACAGATGCTAGTAATGTCAACAAAGAGGACCTTAGATGAAATGAGGTCATAAAGATTCACCTTCTGAACACTTAACATTTCATTGTAAGTGGTTTAATGTATATCTAGGGAAAATCTAGTACTTATCTAACCGACTCTCTTTCAGTTCATTCATACTGACATGTCTTGGCTCTTGTCTGTTTCCTCTGCCAGGAAAGTCTCTTCCTTTATTTCATTATTCAATTTCCCTCAAACGTGGCATCATTATAATTGCTCCCCACTTGAGCAGAATTAGTCTCCCATGGCACATTATATTACCTTTATTAGAGCACATGTCTTTAGGACTTACGGTACTGTATTCGTTTGTTACCGGTTTAAGAGACTATTCCCTGCTCCCTTTATTCAAACTGTGAGTTCATCTAGAGCAAAGAAGATGTCTTCTCTGTCTTTGGGTTCCCAATACCTGTTATCCAGGACAGAGCTGGAGTTGGCACACAGAAACTTATTATATGTGACTTCCCAACTCTGCTTTCAGTCGATAGCTCAAAATCAGCCATCATTGGAGTATTTGCACCACAGAAATCAGTACGTGTTACAAATGAGTCAATGGTTTAGCCTTTATCAGCGCATCACTGTTAGTGTCCTTCTGCTCCATACTAAAAGAAAAACTGTTGAAATGGAGACTTTTTGATGTAAAAAGGGAAATTTGCCTTCTCTTCCAGGAGTCTCATCAATTTAATTTGTGACATTATTGTAATAAGTGGAATTTCAGGAAGTATTGGTTATTGTACATTGTTATCACTGCAGAGTATTGACAACAAGCATTATACGTTTGTATCATTGACTAAAAATATGAACGTCTTTTTGTTTCCCTAATATTTGGCTTCCAGGGTGGAGTTTTAGTAAAAATTACAGAAATGTGCCCTCCTTTGAATTGCTCAGAAAAGGATCACATTCTTCCAGAGAATCAGTGCTGCAGTGTCTGTAGAGGTAAGTGGACTTGGCGGTGGGCCTTGCTTGGGATGAGGCTGGGGGTGGCCTTGGGAGCCATGAGGGTTTAATGAATAGTGTGATGACAATAACATGGGCCCCCAAATGCTCTGCGATTTAGAAACTTGCAAGTCTTTTCACTTCTCTCAGTCATAGTCTCCTCAGTTGCAAAGTGAAGATAATAATAGTATCTACTTTCTAAGACTGCTGTGAAGATTAAAAAGGGATAATGTGTAAGCACCTAGCATCGTGCCTAGCATGTGACAAATGTTCGATAAATGATAGTTCTTAAAATAATGCTAATGATAGTTCCTGTAATAATAACCATCATTATTCTATTTTCCTCAAGAGTGGGATAGGGAAGCATTCTTTTCAGCCCTGTGCTTGGACCAGTTCCTGTGTTCTAATAGAGAATGACTTATGGTGCATCTTTACTCCTAGAATTTAAATACAATATTTTTACTTCCTGCAAGGAAGTAAATGAGTCAGATAAGTAACGCTTGACTGCTAATTAATTCTTGGGCAGAAGTTGTTTTGTTTCATCTTCCTAAAATTCACTTCATTTTTAGTTTTATTCTTTATAAAAATTTTTATTTATTTGCCATTATTGTTATTTTTTAGAGACAAAGTCTTGCTCTCTACTCTTCAGGCTAGAGTGTAGTTGTGTGATCATAGCACACTGCAGCCTTGAACTCCTGGGCTTAAGCGATCCTCCTCCTGAGTAGCTAGGACTACAAGTGTGCATCACACACTGGCTAGTGTTTTTCCTTTTTTTTGTAGTGACAAGGTCTCACTGTATTGCCCAGGCTGGTCTTGAACTCTTGGCCTCAGGCAGTCCTCCCACCTCAGCCTCCCACATGTTAGGATTGCAGGCATAAACCACTGCACCTGGTTTATCTTTAGTTTTTAATTGATACATAATAGTTGTGCATATTTTGGGGGTACATTTGATATTTTGACACATGAATATAATATGTAATGAAGGATCAAGTCAGGATAATTGGGATATCTATCATCGCAGTATTTATCTTTTCTTTGTGTTAGGAACATTACAATTCCTCTCTTCTAGCTATTTTGAAATATGCAATGAGTTATTGTTAACTATAATTTAATTAACTATATTGTTAACTATAATTTCCCCACTGTACTATTCAAATACTAGAACTTATTCTTTCTATCTAACTGTATTTTTGTACCCATTAACCAAATTTTCTTTACTCCTCCCTGCTTCCTTTCCCAGCCTCCTAAATTTATTTTTATTTCTTCACATCAAGCTCAGGGGTTATTTCCTCTCTGAAACTTTTCAGTCAGGAAGAATTAAATGGGTTAGGGGGACTTAGAATTTGTTCAAAATCTTCAAACACAAATGCAGTTAGACTCATAGCTATTATTTTGAAACTATACCTACCACAAATATTTCACATTCTCAGATATCCCGTAAGTTACATCCTTTTTGGCTGAACTTCTATGCTTCCAGAGTTAAGGAGGCCCCAGCAGCATAGTAATTTAGCTCAGATAACTTCATAGTTATCTATTACTTTCTTAGTCTTTTCTCTAAGACATGGTTTGGCAAAAAATTTTATAAAAGGTCACAAAGTAAATATTTTTGGCTTTGTAGACCAGAGGTTTCTGTAATAACTACTCAAGTCTGCTGTTAGCAAAAAAGCAACATAGATAATTGGTATATGAATGGGTGTGACTGTGTTCTATTAAACTTTATTTATAAAAACCTGTTATCTGTTGACCCTTTCTTTAGCGCCTTCTGATATATAAGAAATGCTGTATATTTTGTCCAGGCATGTTTTCATCTTAGACTCTCTGTGGTTGGTCATGAGAGTGCTATGCTTGGTAAAATTCTTAGGAAAACTTAAAACATTGAGAGTCAAAAATGGCTCTTGGAATCAGTGACATGCTAACCATGCAATCAGAATATCTACCCTGGTTTATCTGTTTTCATTCCTCTAAGCATATTGCAGCTGGAATGTTTTAGAAATTCCTAAGGATTGAGTGGAATTTTCAGAGGGATACATTTATTGGTAACCAATAGGGTGGTTAGGTAGGTCTTATAATTTAATGCAAAATCCATCATTTGTTATTTGTTGAGGTGCCAAGTGGGACTCAGTTTATGTAAATCCTTTCTGATTTATGGTTTCATTAGAGCAGAGTCATTGATTAGGCCACAGAAATGCAAGAGGGATTTCAGTGCTCTGACGCAATTTATAATAGAACGGGTGCCACTGCTTCTGTTAGCACTTGTCTGGGACGCATCCTTCTTTACCAGTGAAGGTGTTGAGAGTTGTGACATCTTGTTGACAAGTAAACTCTGACGGGGTGCCTATTGCTAGCAAGCTGGTGGCTTTTACCAAACCTGACTCAGCTTTGAGAGAAAAGTGGAAGACAGGAGTAAGACTTCATAGATTTGATCTTAGCCAGGGTCAATCTGTGAAACTGAGGGCTTTCTTTTTCATACCTTTTACTGTCTCAGCCAGGAAACCACGAGCCCTTCAGCTCTTTTATTTGGAAACAAGTTTTTTTTTTTTTTGAGATGTGTATATATGTGAAACAGTTGTTTTTTGCTCTTTGATAACTACATTTTGATAGGGACTAGAGCATATCTTGAGAAGAGATAGTAAGGAGGGGCTTTTCGTGGGGAGTGGGGTGAATTAACTGTGTGAATTTCTTCTACGCTACTTCCACTTCAGAATCCAGACATTGAAATGAAATAAGCATTATTGTTAACTAAGGCCCTTTCCAGCACCATCTATTGTCATTACTACCTCCTTTCTTCTTGACTCCCAGTGGAGAGAATTTCAGAATGTTCAGTCCACTTTTTCACGTGCGTGGGCTGCTCTGTACATCAGATAATTGGAAAATAAAAGACATATTTCCGTGGGCAGTGGATATCTCTTTTTCACGAAACTCTACAATTTAAATGAAGATTAACAAAAATCAATTAGATGAGCTCAAAAGTTCATTGTCTTGAACCATGCTCTCTGTGATTTTTACTTCATATCTCTTGCTTCCAATTTATTTCTCCAGAGCATCTTTAGAGGTAACAGAATCGTTGCCTGTCACAATTTTGTGAGAAGTACTTTCCCCCTTTAACTTCCATTTGTTTCTTACCTTTTCCTTTGCATTCAAGTTTTCTGAGTGGAGCTTTGAAAGAGAAGGAGGGAGTTGGACAATTACTATTCTGACAAGACTCGGGATGTTTAGTGAACTTCTTCCAAAGCAACCTATTCAGTTCTTGTTCCCTCTCCTTTCATCTCTCTGTAAAATGGAAAGTGATGAAAAAGTAAGAAACATGTCATTTCTTTGTAAAGTAATTTTTACCCCACATATGGAAGGGTTGCATCATCTGCTTTGTGGACTAAGATTGTCCACAGAAGATAGCAAGTAAGTAGAGAGGTGGGACTCAGGTGAACCGGAATGTATATTTCAGAGATGAGCACTGTGGTATGATAGCATTGTATGGCTTCTACCCCTCTCGTATTATTGGTTACAGAAACCAAAGTAGATTTGGCCTTTCAATACCTTCATGGAAGGTGCTCAATTAGCATCTTTATCATCTCTCTCTTACTGTGACTATCAGGTCATTAATCTGAAGGAAATTATCCCATGAGAGTCTCCTTCCTCAGAAGTCAAAACCTTTCTCATGCTTGCCTGGGGGATTTGAAGTTTTCCGAGATTTGTTTTCATTAGGACTCTGATGAGTCACCCTATGTGGGAGGCTTAGAATGGGAATTTGAGAAAACTGCCATAGAGTAGTTTTTGCTTTCTTACCCCAATTGGCTAATTATATAATATCTACAGGGCTTTCCAATCTTTCTTAAAATAACATTTATTTTAACGATTACACTTTATGAATGATTCTTTAGATGTAAAAGAGAAAGTAGGGGAGAAGATAGGTTCCTACCACATAAAATGTTTCTGTCATTGTCATATCAATGACTGTGAATGATGTTATTTTTAACACCAGATGATAGGCTTGCATGTATTTTGTGTATGAAATAAAATCCATTTTGCTAAGTTATAATTTGTTTCCTCAAATTATAACTTAGGTTATAATTTATTTCCTCAAATTATAGCCTAAATTATAATATATATCCTCAAATTATAACCTATTAGCTTGATTATGAAGTTAGTTTTTCTTAACTGAGTCTTACCAATTTTCTTTTATGGCTACTGTCGCCCTCACCCCCTTCATCGATTAGTCAAGATGAAAGGCACAGATTTACTTTACACTGAGCTTTTCTCTTCGTAGGAACTAAACTTAAGACCTTGGAGTTAAGAATAGTAGGCTCAGCCGGGCTCAGTGGCTCAGCCTGTAATCCCAGCACTTTGAGAGGCTGAGGTGAGTGGATTGCATGAGCCCGCGGGTTCGAGACCCGCCTGGGCAACTTGGCGAGACCTCATCTCTACAATAAATCAAAAAATCAGCCGGGCGTGGTAGCGCGCGCCTGTAGTTCCGGCTACTTGGAAGGCTGAGGTGGAAGGATCGCCGGAGCTCAGCAGGTCGAGGCTGTGGTGGCCGGGAGCGGCCACTGCACTCCAGTCTGGGAGACAGAGTGAGACTCTAACTCAAAAAAAAAAAGAATAGTAGGCTCTGACTGACTTATGGTGTCTTCTTATCAACAGAACTATATTCAACTTAGGGGCTCTGATACCTTGCCTCTCCTCTTCAAATCTTGGGTCATGCCAAATGCTGTTGTTAATTTCCTTCCCCTTCACAGAAGAATGAAAGTAAACAACTGAACAGGTGGTTAAATCCACAGAACTATTGGAGCAGCCGAGATACCCCTGGGGGAAAAATACAGAACAGTTAGGGAAGAAACATGAAAAAGGAATCAAGGTGATAAACACTGGCAGAGAGATACCACTTTGCATTTGCTGGGGCTTGAGGTCTCAGTCATCAGCAGCACCACCCAGAATAACTCTAATCACAGCTACAGCTTTTCTCTGAAGCCTCAGGACAGTTTGTGCTGGCAGCATGAAATTTG